TAAAAAGGTAAAATTGTTCAAAAAAACAAAATAACATAGATAAGATATCAATTCTGTCAAAATTTTATGACCAAAAGATTTTTTCCTGATTCTACTATGCATTATAAACAATTTAATTACTTACAAATGAAACTAAGCAAGTTACAAATATCACTTACCATAACAATTATTGGTATATATTATTCTATGTTAATAGAGACCAGAAATGTGGGGTTTTAGTTATTAAAATTATAGCAATTATTAGTATTTATCAATTCTATTTTAATGAAGACAAGATATGTGGGGTTTGATTTTATTAGAATAATAATAATTATTTACTAGTATTTATCATTCTACGTTAATATAGACAAGAAATGTGGGGTTTTGGTTATTAGAATTTGGTGGGGGGGCTATGGTTATTATATTCCAACGTGTAGAGTATTGATTTAGGATGATGGGCTAACTAAAAGTTTATGTCTCTCCGTTTCATTTTACTTGTTATTTTTTTGGCCAAAAGACAAAAATTACATACTTTTAAGATAAAATTATCATTTATCTGATATAAACTTATAATTACAGAAATCCCTCAAAATAATACAATAATATAAACGCTCATATATTAATCTGATGCGCGAGATACATTAATCGTTAAGTAAGATACATTACATCTTATATATAATACACTAATCTGATGTATATTTTAAATATGATACATTAATTTGATGCGCTGATACATTAATCTGATGTGTGAAAATGAGAAATCTTGAGAACTTATAAAACTAATAGGGAATAATGGTAATAAGAAAACTTAAAGGTGATATATCTGTCATTTTTCCTTTTATTTATTTTTTATCCGTTTCAAAAAATGACATTTTACTATAGTTAATAATAGAGATAAGTGTCAAATATATACCTAAACAATTCTGTTTTTTTTTTAGTTTCATACAAACTATTGAAAGTGTGAGTTTCATACCTAAACTATCACTTTTAGTTTGAGAAACACACCTCAGTAGTGTGTGTAATGCACTCTCTCTTTTATATGAAAAAACTTCGACACATGGCATTCCACATAGATAAAATATTTTATCTAGATAAAAATTAAATAATAAAAAATTAATATTAATTAAAAATTAAAGATTAATATCCAAATAAAAAATTAAATTATTTTTCTTATCTCACTCCAACATCCTCCACGTACCCCCCTTCCCCGCAACAACACCATCCTTTTTTTTATAAAAAAATCATTTGTTTATACAATATTTTTAAAATTTTCATATTTCATATTCCATCCTCCCCCCCCCCCCCCCCGCCCCTCCCGATAGAAATTGATATTATTTTATTTAAAAAAAATTATCCCATCCTATTTAATTTTTCGCTCCTAATTTTTATTTTTTTACGTTTTTCTTATTTTGTGTTAGATATGCACGGTACATATATTTTTAGAATTTTTTTTTTAATAGTGTACCGAATATAAAATAAACAAGTAAAACTATTTTCTATATGTATATCTAAACACTTGGTAAAAAAATTAAAAGCAGAGGGTTAAGTGGCATGGTAGAATTATATTTTTAAGAAAATAAAATAATATCTAAATTAGTATTGAGGAGGGGGAGGAGATGAAGTAAAAATGAAATATTTTATAAAAGAAATTCAAAGAAAATAAAAAACTTTAAAAAATTGTGTGGGGTAAGAAAAATATTTTATATTTTATTTTATAAAGAAAATATTATTTTTTATAATAGTTTTTTAATTTTTAATTTAACTAATAATAATAATTTATTTATATTTTGTCAAGGTTGAATGTTTTGTCAATGTGCAGTGTGATGTGGAAATTTTTTAAAATAAAGACTTAAGTCATCAGCGGCCCCTTAATGTTGTCCGCATAATTCACTTAGACACTTTAACTAATAGTGTACCAATTGAACACTTTTACCTATATAATAATCGTTTCTATTAGACATTTTTTGATAATCAACAAAAAATGTAAAGAGTGTGTGATACACTTGCTGTGATGTGGCAACATGTCTAATTAAAAAAAATAACATTTGGCATTGGGCCCAAAAATTATAAAAAAAAAAACACACATTTAATATCTAATTTTTAAAAAAGAAAAAAAAATGAAAATGTCAACCTATTCTACCCCACCTTACCCCACCCCACTGCAACCCCCTTTCATCTTCATCTTCTTTCCAAAACACATTCTTTCTCAAATTAAAAAATCTTATTCTTTTCAAATAACTTCAAGATTAATTTTTTTTTATATACTAAGAGTGAAGAAACTTTTGTTGGCGATTATTCAACTCTACGTCGATGACAAAATGAAATTGATAGCTTCAAAATTATTTCTTTCAAAAAATTTTATATCATTTTTGATAAATTTAATTACCACATATGAATTTGAGTAAAAATCTTTGTTCAAAAATTGTGATAAATAATTCTCGGGTAACTATTTTTATACGTAAAAATCATTTATCTTTTTTCATCTTCTTCATACTTGTTCCTTGTTTTTATGAGATTTGAAATAAATCATACTAAGACTTTCTTTCAAATCTGAATCTTTATAGTTAATTTTCATTTATCTTCATATTTGGAAAATATAAATTTTTTGTATATAAAAAAGAAAAAAAACTGTGTTAGAGCTAAAATGAAGAAAGTTTTGTAAACTAAATTATGAAGAAGATGATAGATAGGGAGTGAGATGTTTTCTTTTTTGAAAAAAATGTAAATAAAGAAGAAAATATTTTTTAAGTTATTTATAATGCCAAGTGTCAATAAAAGAAGAAAAAATGTAAAAAAAAATGAAAAAGACACTATTTTAAGTCTTTTCACGCGCTTCAGGGAAGTGCAATAAACAGTTTTTGCCATATCAGCATTTTGTGTCTAATAGGTACATGTTTTGAACAATTTAGGTGTTCAACAGGTACAAATCTCAGTTGAGGTGTCTAAGTGAATTATGCGGACATCTTTGAGGGGTGGTATATGACTTAAGCCTAAAATAAAAGAGAGAGAGAGTGTGTATTACACATACTATGATGAGAGTGGTATAAAAGAGAGAGATGTGTTTCTCAAACTAAAAAGTGACAGTTTAGGTATGAAATTCAAACTTTCAATAGCTTAGGTATGAAACACAAAAAAAAATGTATAGTTTAGGCGTGTTTTTGATACTTGTCTCTTAAAAATAATTTAACTTTAAAATATCTGTTTTATTCTTAATGAAATGACTTACAACCATACAAATGTTTTAGACTACAAATTTTAAATATTTTCCTTCTTTTCTTAAAAACATGTCAAAGTCAAACAATGTCATAAAAAATGAAACGGGAGGAATAGTATTTAAAGGGTATTTTTTCTGAGGGAGCTTTACATCTTGACTCAATATATTTTCGCTTTTATTGGAGAGTTTATATTTAGTATTAGTATAATATGATATAATTACTTTTTAATAATTTATTAGTAATTAAATGGTTAGTAATATATGGTTTTAATTTAATATAGGAATAAAATAGTTATTCAACTTTGTACTCTTAAATCTGATTCAAAATTTCATTGGTTATAAATGGTCCAACTGTCTTCTCTTTTTTTTTCTATATTTATCCTCAAGTTATTTAAAAGATAATTAGCTAAAGCAACGAACATCGAACGAAAATTAGAAGTTAGAAAGGGTCGTCCCAACAACAACAATATAATAACATATTTTGTGTAATTTTATAGGTGAGATCTGGGGGCGAAGGATGTATGGAGACCATATCTTACCTTCACTGGGTGGAGAAATTGATTTCGATATATCTTCATCTCAAAAGAAATGTAGACAAAACAAGATAAAAATGAAAATAATGACAATAAAATGACAAGATACACAAAGCAAATGAAGAAACAAGAAGGGACTTACGCCTCGCCCATCCCACATAAAAGTATGACAACACTCAGTTACTTTACTACCCTTCTACCCTAATTCCCAATCTCTATATCTTCGTATTTATGGTCATGTCATCAGTAAGATGGAAATGTATCATGTTCTGTTTCATCAGCTCTACCTAGTGTTTCTTCGACTTACTTCTACCCCTCGTAAATCCTACAATAGCCAACCTCTTACACCTCCTTAGTAGTACATCCACATATCTCCTATTCACATGTCCAAACTACATCTCAGTCTCCTTTCTCTCGTTAACAAAAACATATATTGCATCAAAAGGTAATCTCAGTTAAAAAAAAAATTGCACGTATTTAGAAATTGAACAAGATTCTTATATACTACTCTCGAGGATTAAAAACGGAATTCCGCAAAGGTAGATAGCTACATGAGCTTAACACATGCATCACACATTTTCCTCATAATGGAACACTTAGCATCACAAATTTTTATTACAACGACATATTCATTGTAATTTCGCCAGTATTACAATAAAAAAGACACACATTACCCCCCCCCCCCCCCCCGTGAAGCAGAAAAAATATTTTCGATACACCCTTAGCTCAAAAGAAAAGTATCATTATTTATTTATATATGAAAATATCATTTATATAAATCAAGTAATATAAAACGAAACTAATATTTAATTAACTTATCCTAGATTTACATATCACATCATATCTTTTTATTATAAATGTTCATGAAATGAGTGGCATGGTGCATCTTACCTTATCTTCTTTGGTTGGTCCTATGCTTAGTTGTCGATACAATATAATCATTCATATCAATTATACTTTTTATGAAGCATACGTTGTAAAAAAAATCAAGCTATATTAGGTTTAATCGATTACAAAAATAAATATCGAAAGTTAGAAAAGCTCATTCAAGACAAATAAAAATATATATATATTTCTCATCATAGGGCGATCTCAGTTAAAAATGAAATTACAAGTACATTTCCTCTGTTTTGCTAATGTTAACGAATATTTGAAACTTCGCGTTCAAGGTGATGTAAGAGCTTCAAACATCTATTTCGATAACCTGTTGAGACCTTCATCTCCAACGCAAAAAAATGATCGCGATCAAGCAACATCACTCTGCGTTATGATCAATGCCTAGAATTTCTCGAATCAAACAAGATGTTAACTCGGTGATACTCATCTCATCTGGATCAACGACTACGTTATCACAAGAGCAAGTCAATGAGATTGCTCTGGGTTTAGAACAGAGCAACCGTAGATTTATTTGGGTACTAAGAAAAGGAGATAACGCGGAGAAACTTAAAGATAAAGTCGTAAAGATTGAATTACCCGAAGGGTTTGAAGTAAGAGTGGAAGGAAGAGGAATAATGGTTAATTGGGCAACACAATTAGAATTCTTGGGACATTCATCGACAGGGGGGTTTATGAGTCACTGTGGATGGAATTCATGTATCGAGAGCATTAACATGGGAGTACCTATAGCTACTAGGCCAATCAGTTTCGATCAGCCATTTAACGCTATACTTGTAACTAATTTGTTGGAGATTGGAATCACTGTCAAGTGTTGGTCTCACCGCGATGAATTGGTAAAAGCATCAACCATAGAGAAATCTATCGAGACATTGACGAGTACCATAGAAGGGGAAGAAATGAGGCAAACGGCAATGGAATTGAGCAAAAAGATCAAAAACTCTGTTAGCCACGGAGGACTTGCACGCGAGGCCATGGAATCATTCATATCACATATAATTGAATAACTTCACCGTTGAAGTTTGCTTTTAGTTACGTTGTTATGCAATAGTAATTTTTAGCAAAATAAGTTTGATATTTAAGATTGTTTTAAATTTCAAATTATGTGTTTATGATGTCTATTGTAAGTCCTTCAACGCTTAATAAAATTATTGAAAGTCATTTCAATCTATTGAGAGACATTTTCAATCCTTCTTTGTTGCCCTATCTTCTATTGATTTGATTGCTAATGGAAACTTGATGAAGATAGTGAGGTTAATATTTCCATTTTCCTTGAGCCAAAGGGTCTATTGGAAACGGCTTCTAACTACCTCTCAAAGATTGAATATACGTTTTACTCTGACCTCCAAAACCCATTTCACATCCAAGTCGTTATTCCTTAATGAGAAGAGGCGTAAAGAGATAGTTCTGTCACGTCTCTATGTCGACCAAGGTTATTTGTCTAATAGAAAGCGTGCTCCTGCAGCCGTTGAAGTTTGTATATCGAAAACGTTGTTGCTATGTTGCTCAAAGTCTTCAAAGATCTCGACAATTGTGTGTTGGATCTTCCAAAAGTAGTGAATTTTCGGAGGATCTAATACAAGTGTTGCATCATTAGAGAGTCCGAGCAACTTAACCTATTTGATTCTTACGAAAAAAACAGACATAATACATAAACATGATCCTTAACTTGGTTCAGCAGATAACTATGCGCTCCAACTTTGAGTGTGCATTAGTAAGCAGTTAAACTTGTTTAAAATTGAACAAATAGACACGCGTATCCTATATGACATAATACACGTAAGACACAAAATGAAACATATTGTTCATTGTTCAAAACAAGTAGATTTGTGAGGCATACCAGGAAACACCTGCCGAGACTTTCACACTTGAATCACTGATTCTGAACTCTACAATGGCCTGCATTTGGTACAAACACAATGAATGTAAAGAAGAAGTTAATGGCTGAATGGCATTGCTTACGTAAGGCGGAACGGTCAACTTGATGCGCGAGAGGCATGAGTGCAGTTCAATCTCTACTACTGAAAATATTTGTTCTCTTTGCAAGGTGAACATAGCCAGGAAGAAGAGAATGAAGTTGTCCTTGGACCATATTGATGATATCAGGGTCGTCTGGTGTGATGGATATAAGATAAATAATCCCGAAATAAGTTTTTACTACTCATCATTCTTTGTTTGGTTATAAAGTGCGGGATAACTTATCTCAGGATTAATAATTATGACTACGATAAGTTGTTAATACTTATTTTGTAATAACTTATCTCGAGATAAAAATGTAAAATAACAAAAATACCTTTTTTATAAACAACTTATTCTTAGAAATTATGTCATATATATCTGATATACCGAACAACCAATTAGATGAAGTGCGCACAAACTGATGAGTTCTTTTGATTTTAGTGGAATAATACCTTTTTATTTTGCTTAAGCACATTTTGCTTGATTATTTTATTTAATTACTTATTTGACTTTCATATATATATATATATATATATATATATATATTCTTTGTATTTATTTTTTTTTATCAATCATATCATTATTAATATATATATATATATATATATATATATATGAAAATATTATTTACCTAACTAACTTCCCATATCTACCCATCACATAATAATAGATGCAAAATTGATTTTACCTTATCTTATCTTCTTTGGTTGTTGCTGAGCTAAATCGTATGAACAAAATTCATTCATCTGAATTAATTATTTAATGTCATTTTCATCAATTAATGTGACACCTAACTTTTCTAGGTGGGGTAATACAAATGTAGATTTTTTTTTAAAGTTATATTAGATTAATCAATCATGTAAAAATATTTAAACAGTCAACTTGTTTAAAAATAATTAATTAAAGCAATAGATCTTGAGTGCAAATTGGTAAAAAAAATATATAAAAAAAAAAAAGCTGTCAAAAGCAAGTAGGTGTGAAACTAGAAACTCATTGAATAATGAATTGATTCATCGATCCTTTCCATATAAAAAAAATAAATTTTTAAGTCCTTGCATGATTCGAAATATGCTTAGCATTATTAAGATCTAAAATTATATATTAATTAATATTTGTATTAATCATTATTTTTAAGGACATGCAAAGTCCAAAGTGAACAAGTAAAACTGAACTAACCAATATCATTTTTGACATATCATATTTTTTCATGAGTAATTATTTATTCGTCAAATTATTATTCAAGACCTAAAGTTATACATAAGTAACTGGAGAAACTATGTAATTAGACATACTCCGCTAATATATATACTATTACTACCTATACCTTCAAAATATTACGTAATTATAACTGATTAAGAGTGTTCTACCATCTATTGAGGAAGATACACCAAGAGACATGTATTTTTGCTAGTAGATACACTAAAATAGAAAGGGGGACAACGAGATTTTGTTAATTGTTATGTATCCTAGATACATACAAATTATCTGTTGTGATTTATATGTATAAGGGATACCAAATATGTATGAGAGTAACGAGCGAGATGGGAAGGACGCAAACGAGATTTGTTCTATATCTCGGATACATGTGATTTCACTTGGATACAATGTATCTAGAATAAATTACACCTAATTTTAACCACATGTAACCCGAGATATATATCCAGACGTATCTGGACACACCAAATTACACCTACTCTCTCCATTTCAAATTAATTGAATAGTTAAGATGTTATTCATTTTTCAAATAATTTAATTGTTCAATTTTCTAGACTACTTATAGAATGTTCTTCCAATTTTACCCTCCATTAGTTTATTAACTAATGCTTAGTTATTTTAATCATGAATTTGACAATAATTAATAAGGATAAAAATAAAAAGTTATACCTAATTCACGTCTGAATCTTTTTTTCTTAGAGGACGTGAAACACCTCGACAATTCAATTAATTTGAAATGGAGGGACTAGGATGTAATTAAAATGATTTTTTTTAATTTCGTTAGAAGAAAGGGTATATGTATATATAAGTCACTTTCATAACAAAATATATATCAGCTCTAAATAGCAAAGTCGAGGGGTTCTTCTGACCCTTTTCCCTATTTAAACTTACAACAAAATAAAAACATGTTCAAAATTCCAATATATGGTTCTAAAAAATGGTCCAATATTATATTTGTTTTTTTCTACATTATCTTTGGTATTTATTAGTATGTTGCATCCCTGTTTGTATTGTCCATAACTCATTTTTTCTCAAAGTTCTTTCTCCTTTTTGTTGCTATGGCTGCTACCAATGAAGTCATTGTGGCCATGGTACCATTTTATGATTACAGCCATCTCAATAACCTCTTAGATCTCTCTCGTTTCATCGCGTCCCATAACATACCAGTACACTTCATCTCATTTGTTGATATGAACCGAGATTTGAAACTTCGTCTCAAAGGTAGTCCCGGGGCCTCAAACATCCATTTCGAAGACCTTTTGAGACCTTCAGCTCCAACAGAAAATGATGTTCGCGATGGAGAGCCTCCGATTCTAGTGTTCCTGGAAAAACTAACAAAGCCTATTAATGAAATATGTGTTCAACTCTCTACAAAAGCAAAAAAGTTAGTCATTGTTCATGACCTTATAATGAGTGAACAAATATTGGAAGTAAATACATTGTCGAATGTCAAAAGTTACATGTTCCATACAGGATCGACTTTTAGCAGATATTCATCCATCAAACAAACGATTCCTGACTTAGTTGATGATGACGATGATCACGTCAAGTTTATCAAGGAAATGCAGGATGAGTTTCCATTACTGGAGGCACATGAGAAATATTGTTTCCAAATGGAGCTTGATGACAAGGATATACATTACTCCGGAGAAATCATAAACTCGTGTAGAGAAATGGAAGGTAAGTACCCAGATTTACTTGCGAAAGCAAAAGGCAAGCCGTTATGGGCTTTTGGACCATTTCATATGCTGCTAGAATCAAACTCTAACATCACTCCGCGTCATGATCAATGTCTAGAATTTCTCGACAAGCAAGAGGCCAGCTCAGTGATATTCGTGTCATTTGGATCAACGACTACATTATCACAGGAGCAAATCAATGAGATTGCTCTGGGTTTAGAACAGAGTAATCACAGATTTATTTGGGTACTAAGAAAAGGAGATAACTCGGAGAAACTTAAAGAGAAAGACGTAAAGATTGAATTACCAAAAGGGTTTGAAGAGAGAGTGGAAGGAAGAGGAATAGTGGTTAATTGGGCACCACAGTTGGAAATATTGGGGCATTTATCTACGGGTGGATTTATGACTCACTGTGGATGGAATTCATGTATCGAGAGCATTAGCAAAGGAGTACCTGTAGCAACTTGGCCAATCAGTTACGATCAGCCATTTAACGCTGTATTCCTAACGAATATGTTGAAGATTGGAATCGCTGTCAAGAGTTGGTCTCACCGCAATGAACTGATAACAGCATCAACCATTGAGAAATCTGTCAAGACGTTGATGGGTACGGTAGAAGGGGAAGAGATGAGGCAAAGGGCAGTGAAATTGAGCAAACAGATGAAAAACTCTGTTAGGAGCGGAGGACTTGCACGCAAGGATATGGAAGCTTTCATATCACATATTATTGAATAACTTCACCGTTGAAATTTGCTTTTAGTTACTGCATTCGCAAAATAAGTTGTTTAGTTTGAGATGAAGTTGAATTTTGGTTAAGTTGTTTGAGTTGTTGAATTTCAAATTAAGCAGATTATGAGTTTATGGTGGCTATTCAAAGCTAATAAAATTATTGACAGTCATTTCAATCCATTCAGAGATATTTTCAATCTTTTTTTGATGCTTGTCTTTTAAAAAACCAACATTATTATTAGGTAGATTGGACATATCCCTTGTACTAAATGATCTCCTCTTGCTTTGATTGCTGATAGAGACTGATGGAGATAGTCTATCGGAAACGGACTCTTACTAGGACTGAGTACGCTTTACCCTCCGCAGACCTCACTTGTGGGATTACAGTGGATATGTTGTTGTTGTTATGTTGCTTAGACTCTTCAAAGATATTGGCAGGTGTGTGTGTTGGATCCTCCAAAAGTAGTATACTTTTGGAGGATCCGACACAGGTGTTGCAGCATTGTTGAAGAGTCCGAGCAATATGACCTATCGGTCCTTACGGAAAAAAAATGAAACATATTGTTCATTGTTCAAAACAAGTAGATTTGTGAGGCATACCAGGAAGCACCAGCTGAAACTTGAGTCACTGATGTATCCTTATTGGGCTGATTCTGAACTATCTGTACAATAGCCTGCATTTGGTACAAACATTATGAATATAAAGTTTTGTTGTTGAAATCTTTTTTTTTTCAAAAGAAGAAGTTGATGGCCGAGTAACACGTAAGGCAGGACAGACAACTTAATGCGGGAGAGGCATAAGTGGCAGTTCAATCTTTGTGGTATCATGTCCCTTAACTTGACGTCAGCTGACAAATATGATGGTCTTGAAGTCTCTCCAACATTCGTTTCGATGACCTTCAGCTGCCTTCTAAATTAGATGATACTGGAGACGTCGTTGATAATGATCTGCCTTTGATTGCAGTTCTGTCTTTGATTGCAATTCTGTTGGGGAAAAAAACATGGTCTTGAAGTCTCTCCAACACTCATTTCGACAACCTTCAGCAGCCTTCGAAATTAGATGACCGTTAACTTGGTAATATTTGTATCGTTTAGGATTGTTAAGATATGGCATCCGGGCCTAACTCAACATGTGGGAGGTTTGTCCAAGTCCATATAAGGAGACTAAATTCTCATTACTCTACCGCTGTGGGACATCTTAACAGGGACAAACACTAAGTTCTCACAAGAACAAGCCAATGAGTTCATGCTCGGACATATACCTACAGGCGGGTTCTTCTCTTGAGTCACTGTGCACGGAATTCTTGTTTAGAGAACACTAGTATAGCAGCTTGGCCTAACAATGCAGACCAGCCATATAATGCTGTTTTTGTAATCACGAAAATCGGTATGTGTGGAGTTAGGTTCTGAGAGAAGGATCGGTGACAGCATCTGCTGTTAAAAAGCTGTCAACACAGGTTCGACAGAAAGGGAAGAAATGAGGCAGAGAGCAGTGGAATCTTTCATCTCCTACATTACCAAATAACTTTCTATGTTGTCCCACACTCCAAAAATGTTGTTGCACTTGTGTCGAATCCTGAAATATTACATTAATTTTGAAGGATCAAACGCACACAAAAAGATGACATTTTTGGAGAGCCTGAACAACATGATGAGGTTAAATATGACACAAGATCGCCATTAATAATAATACACTAGCCACCTTTGTTTCTTATGTTTGAATGCATATTACAAGGCATAATACATAAATATACCCTTTAACTTGACATCATTTCACATTTATGTCCTTCAATTTTACTAGTTTCCGAGCACGCGCTTTGCGCGTGTAACCCATGAGTGTATTATTTCTTAAAAGATAATACTATTAAATAATAAAATATGCCTAATTGAGATTTCTTACTTTGTTTTACTACTAATTGTGACATTCCAATTTTCTGACCTGCAAGTTAATGCATCGAGGTAATAATATGAGAAATTAATAAAATAAACTTTGTTTGTAATTCAAAAAATGAGTTTGCAAAGCTAAAAGGAAAAATAACAACTATCTAAATTAAATTTCTTGATAGTTCCGTTTTATTGGTAGAATAATTCTAGATAGTGTAAGATTAACTTTGAGTGAAGGAAAACAAAACCTTTCAACTTTTTTTAATGATTGTGTTTAAGTATTGTATTAATTTTTTATTCACAAACACTTTAAACTAATTAGTTAACTATAAATATTTAAAACTAAGATGTAAAAAGTTTTATCATTTATATTTTAAAAATCACGATATTTATGAATATCTACTATTTTTGTATAAAATTTAATTCTGTCATACATAACTTATCCACCATTAATCTAATATTATATGTTTCATCTTTTTTTTTTTCATAAAAAGAAAAGAAAAGAGTAAACATCCTATTTTATCACATTCATTCTTAAAGATGAAAATTAATGTATATGTAAAAAAATTATACGTACGGAGAAAAGAAAAAAAAAAGGTACACATGAGCAAGATAATTAGGCATTTCATTTTGTTTGTGTCTATAGTGAAACTGAACATTTGAGCATACAAAATACAAATATGAATTTAGAGCAACTTGCTAATAAAACAAGAATTCAACTACATGAAGAGAGACAAAAAAGTCTTATTATAATTCTTACTACAAATAAGTATAAAACTAACATATCAAGCTCCGATGCTTCAGTAATTGAATTTTTATCTACTCTCGTAATTGCATAAGGGAATCTCACAACTTTCACCTCAAATTGTGACATTATTTCACATGTTTAGAGTTCCTACATACAAGAATTGTAGGAGTGGTAAATAAAAGTTCTTCTTGAAAAAGTTAAATTTATAGAACAAAATTATAGAAACATGAAAAGTCACCTGAATTATTGTTAAAATAAATATAAAAAAGATAGAGATGAAATTTAATTTTAAAGATACATGAATCTACGTTAATTTCTTGATAATTACTCATTTTTGTTTTTATTTACATTTATGTTAGAAATTTGAAAGGTCAAGATTATGAAATGAGAATAAGAAGATTATATATATATAAATTATATAAGTTTTAATTTATTAGAGGGGCAAAATGATAATTCAACTTTTAAGTTTTGAGCTTCAGCTTCATGCTTATAATAATATATGATATGTGCTCAAATAAACACATACGTTTTACGTGGCATCCTACATGGCAATTTGCATCTTACGTAGTGTCCTATGTGCTTCATGTCTCGTAGGACTAATGTGTCTACTTATTCAACTTTATTCAGGTTTGAGCGCTTACTTGTGCACCCCCAAAGTAGGAGGGCCTAAATGTGAAATGAGGCCAAATTGATACGTGTCAACAACTAACATGAAAGAAATTTTGTATGCATGAAATTTAAAGGAAACATGGCACTTGAAAAATAGTTATTCATGACATACTTGATACAAAATGTTGATGTTCATTGAGTGAAATTTATTTGGTAATACAAGAAATGAAAGATTCCCTTTCCTTATGTGCAAGTCCTCCATGACTAATAGAGTTCTTGATCTTATTGCTCAACCCGATTGCCCTCTGTCGAATTTCTTCCCCTTCCGGTGAACCCATCAAAGTCCTAACAGCTTTCTCAATAGTTGTTGCTGTTACCAATTCTTCCCTACGAGACCAACTCCTAACCGGGATCCCAATCTTCAGCACGTTGGTTACAAAAACAGCGTTATACGGTTGGTCCACTTGAATTGGCCAAGTTGCTATAGGAACTCCCATGCTAACGCTCTCCATACAAGAATTCCATCCACAGTGACTCAAGAACCCTCCCGTAGATTTATGTCCCAAGATTTCCAGTTGAGGCACCCAATTCCTCACCACCATTCCTCTTCCTCCCACTCTTTCTTCGAACCCTTCTGGCAATTCAAAGTTCGAACCTTTACCTCCACATTTCTCCGTCTCCATCTTTTTATCCGCTTCTCTTATCACCCAAATGAACTTATGGTTACTCCTCTCCAAACCAAGCGCAAGCTCATTCACTTGCTCTCGTGACAATGTAGTAGTCGTTCCAAACGAAACAAACATTACTGAATCAAAATCTTGCTCATCGAGAAACTCAAGACACTCGTGGCGATCCCTATTGCTCATTGACTCGGGTAATTCTTGCAACAAATGAAATGGACCAAGAGCAAACAATGGCTTCTTCCTAACATTAACAAGTAAATCCAAGTACTCCCCTTCTAATTCCCTACAAGAATTCATTAACTCTCCACAATTACGATTACATTCCCTTTCCTTTTTCACAAACTCAAAAATATCGGGTCCAAAACAATCCCCGACTTCAGGCATTTCATCGAACAGTTGGCGTGCGACTCCGTCTTCAACTTCATCAGCAACCTGTTGAAATGTAGAATACATACAAAAAGCTGAAATCGCATGAAAAGAGTAACACTCAACATTTGATATCGAATACACTTCCTTAATCACATCAGTCATCAAAGAATCAAAAACAACCACCAATTTCTTCGCCTTCTTCGAGATTTCAACACAAATTTCACAAATGGGTTCCCCCAATTTATCCAAAAACTCCAAAAATGCAAACTCATCAGCAAAATCCTCTCTGGGTTCTGAAATTGGGATCAGAGGGGGTGCTAAAAGGTCATTAAAATGAATTTTTGAGGTATTTTGAACGCGGGTTTTTAGATCTTGATTTCGATCAGTGAGAGAGATGAAGTGTAAGGGGATATTGTGAGAAGAGATGAAGTTAGCTATATGGAAGAGTTGATTGAGATGACCATGTTCTGGCCATGGAATTACAGCTACAATTACTTCATTGAGCTCAAGAATGTTGGTTGATGAATTGGTAGCCATTGCAACAACAAAAATGGTTTGAATTTGAACAGTGAAATGTGATGAAAAGATATGATGCTTTGAATCACACCTGCCATTATAGAGTAATATTTCAGCGTTGCTAAAATTTTAATAGCTCGGTTGATTGATTAGTCGATTGATGAACTTTTTATTTTTGTAGACTCTAGTTGAGATTTTCGATTCAATTTCTTTGAACTTGTAAATTCTTTTTCAACTTTCCTTTCTCGAGTTTTAAATTGAGATCTCCATTTGAGTCTGACACCTTATTTAGTATTGTATTGTTAATTTAAGTACAATGTTTGTTTTGATTATTATTAAGGAATTTTCACATAGAGTGACTCAAATATAGCTTAA